GGGGGGGGGGGTCATCTGGTCCTCCAGATTTTGGTAGCTAGCTCTAGGTAATTACGACGTGGGGTCATGAGGGGAAACACTTGCTGCTCTGCAACAATCAAAGGTAGTATGTACCGAAAAAGTTGCTCTGGATCATACTTAAATGTCTTCACATTAGACAAATCCCACATTGTTGCCTGCTGCTTTAAACAAAACTCCGCCCCTGCATGAAAAATACGTACAATTTTGAAGTGTGAAAAATTTACACGAAAATGGCTGAATCGAGGGAAACCCTATAGCTTACCGAGAGTCCAGACGAAGTAGTACTTCGGTCTGGTGGCCAACATGGACAGGTAGAGGTAGCCAACCTGCAGGTAGAAGGGCGTGCTGGCGATGAAGTCGTCCTGGATGTTGCGCTCCACGGAACACACCCGGAAGACGGACAGGTAGACCAGCAGCGACGCAGCACAGACGCACAGCTTATAGATCACATCCTTCTGTGGGAGGAAGACGAGCTCGTCTCAGGGGCTGGACAGGCGGCCTTCGGGTGGTTTTCGCGCTCTCGCTACGTGGAGGACGTGAAAATCGCACCGGCACAATGGCAGGGTGTGTTTGTGCCATCACGGAAAATGAAATCACCCCAAAACATGGAAACATTCATGGGAAAATAAGCGAATGATTCAGTTCAAAATAAGAAAGTGATTCAATTTAATTAGTGTGCTGAGCAATGAAAAAACCAAAATAGCTGGTTTCCAGGAACTGAGAAAGCACCGGGTTTCCAACCATACTCGTTATATTTTACTGTAATTAATCTTGAAACAGTACCAGCCAATTTCTTTTGGCTTTTTGCGTGTCTGGAGCTGAGAATTCAAGAGCAATGTTAATACAAATCCTCTGTGCACTTGGATTAGTTTTTCTCCCCCTGCGTTTATCAAAACAAACTGAGGAACTGTGTTTCTTCATCCCAAACAGGCCTCCTACAGGCCTGCGACTCAAGCTGGTGATTATTTTTTAAAGATGCCCATAAAACTACTAAAGGCTGCAACTGGCAAAAGTCCCAGTCAGATAAGGGAGGGAGCTCTGGTTCAGGAAAATGCCAGGACTGCCAGGCGACCCTGAAGGAAGCGGTAGGGGGGAAGATCCGGCGCTGCAATGCCATGTGATGAGATGCAATGAGATGCGGCAATCGAGTGTCACATGCCGGTATGACTCACGAGGATTGGGATGTTCCAGGACAGAAACTGATCGGAGCCAAGCTAAAAGCTCGAGCTCTGAGAGACACAGCTCAACACGCTAAGTAACTAGTAATGCATGGCCCAGTTGAACATCACACACGACATGCTCTTATATCCCCAGCTCACACGTGCAAATCACGAACCATGCTAGCCAGCGGCTAAAGGTTAGCGCAAAATGCGCAACATCAAGCTAGCTAGCGTGCAACTAGACATTAGCATGCGGCTAAATGTTAGCATGCGGCTAAAGGTTAGCACACAATATAAAATCCATCGTGCTTTTGAAAAGTGTGGCTATCATGAAACACGATCCAGCATCTCTGTGCCCAGCATGGTACCTTAGGTGAGGGGTCCCTCTGCTTGTACTTCCCGTTCTCCTTCCCGTTGGACTCTAGCTGCTTGAGGTGGTAGGCGGTGCCTTCGATAAAGGCGATGTAGTCGTTGTAGGAACATGTGGGTCCCGCCAGGATCCCCATAAAATTGCAGTTATAGCTCAAATATTCCAGCAGGCTTGGGACCCTCCTGTCAACGCCAAGAGGGAGCCATTACTCGGACGGCATGCGGTAGGCAGATTGAGCAACGAGCGAAGGCTTTCATTGAAGAAGAAAAAAAATCATAAGAAGAAAACCTCAGAAGATGCAGTGAACATACACAGACCAAGTATGACATGCCTTTTAAATCCAGGCGACCGCTTTGGGGGGTAGTTTAATATTTACAGGAATTTTCATTATGCTAACAGCCCTGCCAGGGGAACCGTTGACTTTTGGGATAATGCTGTGAGATTTACACCAGCCACGCCGCACTGCAGCATGACTTCTAGAGACCACCTTTTGAATCCTTGGGTCTAAAAAAGACGTCGTGAAATCAAGAGTCCTCCCACACGCGGGACTCCAAACCGGCGTCATCTGTCATCCTCCTTCATCCTCTGAGGTACGGCTGCAGAAATATTCATTGGTTGCTTATTCTAATGTTACTGGACGCTCACTGGCCAAGGCTAGACACCCCAAAAGGTTCCTCTCAGACACCCAGATGTTCCTATAACTACTTCATGCTGCGTAGAGACCAACACGCTCTCTTGGAACTTTTCTGTATCATTGCACATTTTAAATACTGTAACTAAAACCTATTACTGCACCTTTCTGTCATTCAGAAACTGCAAATGCAACTCAATGCCCATTTGTTTAACTATGTTAAAAACTTTTATTGTATTCTTCTCTTTATCTTAAGCCCATTTTTCAGTATGTCGTGTTTAAACTGTATTTACCTTTCAGATTTAATTTTCTATCACTGTCTTGCCCTATGGCTGACAAGATCGTAATGTGATCTGTGTATGACCCCATGCATCATATAACTGAAGATGACAATGAAGATACTTGGATTTGACGTTGACTTGAAATATAAACTGTGTAACAGTGATAGCACAGTCCTCTAGCCAATCAGATTAACATACGTTTTTGACGCATTCCTAAACATCAGTACCAAGATGTTGCAGGCCTTGGTGTTTGGACCGTTTTCAACTTTAAAAAAAAAAAACATCTTAGTGATTCTTACAGGTGTCTCATTGCCTTGTGTGGATTACCCAGCTTCTTCTGGCTTAGACACCGATCACACGGCTGCGTGAATGTGCCGTTGCCCTGGAAACGGCGGGGAATCCCTCAGCGTACCGCCGGGTTCCCTCTGTACTTACCACGATTCAAATCCTGTGTTTATGTTTTATGCTAATATCTGCCGAATATGCCCAATTTGCAGAGCCTGGCATCTATCTGGGTTTAAAATAGCACAAAATATTTACTAAGGCTGTCTGTCTCGCAGAGTCTCTCTGAACAACGAGAATAATGCGAATAATCCACAGACTGGACGAAACTCAAAAGAAAATGCAAGATGGTCATTCGAGACGGAGGGGGGAAAAAAAAGCTTTTTCAGCTGAAAGGGAACAGCAAGCCTTTAGTCAACGTGACGCACGGCAGCGTGTATTTACAACACAGCACCCCGTTCACGTTCACAGAATGAAAAAAGGAGCTTTTGTTTCTGGAAGATACAAGGTTCTGTTCGCCACTACTTTGTTAGGTTAGAGTGTAGGGAAAATGTACAGGGGGTGGAAAAGGGCAAGCACCCCCCCCAGTATGTAAACAGACCTTCATATTTAAACTTTGTCCTCCCCAACATCAAACTCTCTCTAATGCCACTGGCCAAAAAAAACTGCTGAGCCATGCCGATGAGATGATGTCATCTCCCATAACCACCCCCCATCCCAATACGCTTGGCATACAGTGCCCCTCCGCCCCCCCAGGGGCCGCACACATACCTTCGGAACATACCTTACGGCAAAGCATCTCTGGCTGGCAGTGAGCATCTCCTCTTTGACCGTCATCCCTGCGGAACACAGAGAGGACACAGTCGTGTGGTCAGCCCCGGTCGCCGTGGTTACTCAATGGACCGGCACGGAACCCTGGGAGAATGGAAGGCAATCCCTTGCCCCAACATCTGAAAATCTGAATGTACCATGTACCATGTACCATGATTAACCAGCTCAAGGCAGGATTTACAGAGTTCCAGCTACAGTAAAGTAGATGTTCCCTCCAACTGCAAACCAAAACCCCATAACTATTACAGTGGCACTGGATACACCATCTAAAAAGGACTTGCCTTGGTGGAACATTGGAAATTTTGGGATAATTGTAAATGCTCCACGGTGTCCCCCTGTCCTGTGCCCTGTGATGGACTGGCATCCCGTCCACGGTGTCCCCCTCTCCTGTGCCCTGTGATAGACTGGCATCCCGTCCACGGTGTCCCCCTGCCCTGTGCCCTGTGATAGACTGGCATCCCGTCCACGGTGTCCCCCTG